GTGGAGAGGGAGGGGAAAAATGAGGAGCTGATGCCAGTGGCTTAAGTGGAGAGCAAATGTTTTGAGAATGATGAGGGCAATGAATGAACAAATGTACTTTACACAATTGACGTATGTATGGATTGTGAGAAGAATTGTTTGATCCCCTAATAAAATGATTTTTAAAAAAGGGTGCCGCCAAGAATGATGTCTCTCACTGGACCATTCCCTGCTTCTACTTGGCTCCACTCCAGACTCTGAAAAATGTGAGTGTCCCAGTGATTTTTTTTTTCACATTCAACAGAAAGTGGAAATGAATGAAGACGTGTTAGCATCTAGAATTGGGAAGCACTTAAACTGACACATATAGCACCTCATCCTGCCTGCGACTTGAAGAGATTCGCTCCTCACTTATTGACATGGTTCGATTGAAAGTACCAGGTGATGATGTGAACATTGGCATTATGAAGACAAGGAGGACCGCCACATCACATCACCCCATCACCTGGATTGTGTATTTCCCACTGGACCCCGTCCGAAGCCCCCTGTTACACCCACCTTCATCCCTTCGGCATCTCCTGAGTAGAGCTCTGCCTGAAAGGGAGGGCCACTCGTCTTCCAGAGCCAGGGTGGCCTCAGGACTAACCCCCTCCCTATCCACAGGATCCCCGTCTCTCTTGTTCTCACAGTATTTTCAAGATGGTTGGCCTTGATTCATCCCCTCAAAGACCTCAAAAGGACCCCCGTGGGTGCTACAAGGGAAGTGCATGATGATTGCTGACCCTTCCCTCCAGACCCCTACTCCTTGCAAGTCCTTTACTTCAATATCATTTAAATCATGGGGATGATCTTGCCCCCTCTGTGTTAGTCTCATGTCTTCATGGGAATAAACAATCCAGCACTTCCTAAAGAGGCCATGAAGTTCCAAGCCCAGCTTCTGTCCCTGACCTTAAATCGCAGTGGCCAATGGCCATTCACTTGCTGGCCCCACCTTCATTCTGGTAGCCTTCTCTGCCCTTACTTGTGTCCCCTTAGGAGAGGCCCTTGAGAAAATAGAAGGGTGCTGGGCAGCTGATATGGCCTCTGGACATCGAAATGGCCCATTCCAGGTCTCCCCCTGGACCAGGGGTTGGCCCATCCATGTCACTATTTGTGGCTGAGAGCTGGGACTAGATCCGAATGTCTCGTTATCCCCCTGGCCCAGAGGGCAGCCTCCTTTCAGGATACTGGCTGCCTCTGGCCTGGCCTCAGCCCCTTGTGGGAATCTGGACCCACCAGGCACTGCTGACAGCTCTTCAGCCTCCTCTCTGGTCTGTCACCTTGGGGGCTCAGGGAGACCACACTTCTTCTCTTCTGAGCCGTGCAATACTGTGCAATAGGAGTATCCTTCCCAGAGTTTCCTTTTCAAGGAAACATTTGTTCCTGCTAAATGCAGACCACTAATGTGCAAAACAGTAAAATAGACATATATTTTAAATTTTCCAGCCATCAAGAGTATCAGCCATATAAAAATTTAAATTCCTTTGTTCAATTTTTTTTCTTTAATATTTCTTATACATGTGAAATGTACAGATAATGAGATAGTCGCAAAGTGAGGAGTCAGTGTATCCACCCATGGTTGCGAGAGGGGGTTCCTGTTCTACTTCCACTGTCAGTGGGGGTCCATTCCAATAGATGGGAGGAGTTCATAGCTTTCAAGTTCATCGGGGTGTGGAAAAGTGAAAATTCCAGCAGGATTTTTTTGTGGTCCCCTGTCTTAGGAAAGCAGGGGAGATTCTTCCTTTGCCCTCGGCAAAGCTGCTCTGCAGTGGAGGGGTGCGGGCACGCACTGAAGAAGAAAGGGCGCACTTAGTTTGATTGGAGAGCGTGTGCTCCGCCTATTATTCACGGTCTGATGAGGAGGCGAGGGGAGTCAAGCACGTGATGGTCCAAAGTGAGACTGCTTGCAGCCGCGAACACACCCTGAAGCTATGGAAAGCCAGAAGGCAGCTCCTCAAGGAAGTCCCTGTTCATTCCCAGCTCTCCGGCCCTCCACATTCGGTACTTCCCTGGATCTCGCAACCACCTGGGAGAACTGGTTCAATCGCTTCCTGATTTTAATAAAAATGACACAAGGATCTACGTACCAGTGTTCTGTCCCTCTGAACTGTAACTTTTGACTTAGATATTCTAATAGGTGACATATTGAAAAATTACACCCCCTCCCACCCCCAATCCATCTGGGGTATTAATTATTAATCTTTTTCCTGGATGGCACCTAAATCATTTACCTTTCTCAAAAACTCCAATAAAGCCACTCTGAAAGAATGGCCTTTAGTTACTTTATGGAAAAAGCAGGGCAGACATTTCGTGGCGAAAACCAAAGCTATGTTCACAATCCCTTTTCTACATTTTAAAGTTTGTTATTTTATTTTGTTGTTTTTATTTTTTTAAGTAATTGGGAATTTCTGCTTTCCAGACTAGCAGAGCTTCTCTGGATCAGAGCTGGTATCTTATATAAATATACAGAGAGATGGAGTTCTTTCTCTACGTAGGAGGAGTTCAGGGCCCTTCAGTTCTTAGTGCTTTTTTGGCTTTTGTCTTATGAAGGTAGGGAAATCTAAAGCCAAAGTAGTAGAAAATATGAATATCTAAAGCAGAACATTAAGAAAATATTTGTAGAATTGAGATTTCCTGTGAATTTTTTGCTACCTTGTGTGGTTCGAATGAGAAGATGCAGTTTCTGAGAATCCACAATAACAATGTGTGGGGACATTTTATGGCAATTTAAAGATAGCTCTGGCTGTCTGCTTCACAAACTTACATGAATTATATGGCTCCTGGAGTTCTTATCATCGGTGCCAACAAAGAAATTAATAAGGACTTTTTTCCCATATTTTGAATTCAGTCTTGCAATAGCTTTCTCTGCCATCCAGGAAGCACCTAAAATAATGAAAGGCACATCTCTTTAGAGGCTTTAGTACATTCATACCCAAACAAAATATAAAATAATGCATATTTTAATATGGAATTTATATTTAGCTAGCCTGTTTTTTTAATAAGAAAGAAGGAAAACTGCCTTACCGTATGCCTGTGCCCAGTTGTCTGTTGCAACCGGCCACTCATAGATGTCTGGTAACAGGTTAAGTAAAGGACTTCCACCTCGGTTGTCAATAGCAGCTTTGACAAGAACAAAGATAACTTCAATAGGAAGTTTCTGTATAGTTTGGATCTCAAAAGGAGGTCGAATGAAAAGCACTTACATTCATTTATGCAAGACCTGTACAGTGTTTTTGCTTTCTGTACTGCTACTATATCTTCCGGTTTAGGCGCCTCAAGGACATCTGAAAATAGGACATTTAATGAAATGCATCAGCATGATACTTCATTTGCAGCTGTAATTAACATTTTCAATGTGGGTTAAAAAAAAAAGCGGTTTCACTGTATGCAAATTCACTCCTTCCTGTCTCTTCGAGGATAAACTAGACCCCTTATCAGATTGTTATTCTTTGAGCAGAACTGGGATTTAGTTTCATTAGCCACGCTAGATAAAAGTCATTTTGACTAGATTCTCATTTGTTGTTGTTGACAACAGTGACGTGTACTGATCTGGTGAAATCAAGATTAAAAAGAAAACAAATAGTGCAAAGGAATTTAAATTTTAACGTGGATGGTACACGCGATGGCTAGAAAATAATTCATGGGATTCTACACTTCATGCTCCCGATGAATTGTGCTGTTGTTTAGATGTTAGAAACTAGCCAGGACTGTTCTTGTACAAAGTTCCTTCGGGAAGAGAGCAGAGGGTGGAGGGTAATAGGGGCTTTCCTAACCACCAAGGGAAAGTGCTTGCACTGAGTAAGTGCACGAACTCCGCAGAGTCATCTAGAGCAAGGCATCCAGTGACGTCCAGTTAGTCCACTGGCTAACCCAAGCAGGGGTAGGAATCCATGGTAGTGGTGTTTGAGTAGCAAATATTTAATTTTTTTCTCCTGTAAAAATAGTGTAAAGACAGTGTCGAGAAGGAAGCTATAGAATTTACTCTGTGCGCACCTGCAAATAAAGTCAGCACTGCTAAGCACTGGCAGCATGCCCAGGTCAGTGCCTACTCACCTTGGGTGACTCATGGGCCACAAAATCTGGAGGGTTTATTGACTTTCTCAGCGATGGCTAACAGTGGTGTTTTAACAGTGGGAGGCCAGGTTGCAATAGTAAGAGAAACAAACAACTCACCCTTCAAAACAACTTCCAGTTCATCTCTTAAAATCTCAAAGTTACTGTAACGTGAGCTGGTCTCAGGAATGATGTTGCGTTTCAACCAGCCCCCACAGGCGTATTTGAAAAAGTCCGTACAGGGTTCAACAGTGGTGTCCAAGTTCTCGATCATGCGAGCAGCTGAAAAAGACCAGACAAAAGAACCAGCTAGAAATTAAGGTTGAATACTTTCCAGGGATAGACAAAAAGGAACACTGTTTCATCTTTATTATCAAGTCAGCTGGACTGATGCTCCTCGTTTGAACCTACGTGACTGATTCCCATGAAATGATGAGTACGTGCTCCTTAACTTTAACTCTATTGAACAGTTTATTCTTGAAGATTTGGATTCTCCTTCCTGTTCTTCTCACAGAGCTGAAGCTCTCACTTGTTCCTCTCTCAGGAAAATGCAAAAGAAGACGAGCAAGTGGGAGACTCTTTTGCCTTGACTGTCCTGGGTCTAGGGTTAACATAATGTTAACCTTGTGGGTAACGTGAAATGCTGACTCTCTTCTTCACGGCATTGGGACAAAAGCGCTGTGAACTTGAACAGATCAGGAACTGTTCATGGAGAGTAGTTCCATTTTGTGGAGATCTAAACCTACAGTTGTTACTTCTAGGACTTGGCTTACAAAATGTGTGCAATTCACATCTGACATCTGATTTGCACTGGTTTAGGGAGCAGCTGTCATTCTAAAATCACCTGTTTGCACTTGTTCGTTTTTGTTACATCCAGTCTTCTGTCTTTGAGAACCTCAATCAACCAATGTTGGGGATTTCCAATCAGCTTGGTTATAGGTATAAGAAAGATACCCAAAACACGAATTATTGCCACCGAGGAGAAGAAAATATGCACAGCAAGGTCCGAGGCCCCAAATTTCTCTTTGTGCAATAATTAGAGAAAACCCTGTCACTTCCCCCACTGTTTGTTCTCACCCAAGTTCAATTCTTTGGCAGAAAAAGCAATAGAGAATCTGAGAATTTATTATATCAAGATAATGTTACCACTCAAACAAGCTTTTGAAAACATTTTTTTCTGATTCAATCAATTAACTGACAGACAAAAACTTCACACAATTGCTGTGCTGGGGGAGGTTTTCTGCTTGGTTTGGTAAACCTGTTTTCCAATTGAGCTTCAAGCCCTCTCACCATCCGCCTTCTGGTCTATCCGCTGCCTCCCAGCCAGTTCCTTCCTTGGATTTTATTACTTTGTGCACAGCACAATAATTTTCACAAACCATAGTCAGCCCTTCTGCAGTCCAAAACCTTGGGTAGATCTGTATGTCTCCTTACTCTGGGACTTATCTGAGTCACTATTTCTTTTTTTCTATAATCTACTTTATATCTTCACTCTCCTGTTTGACGAGACACTGTGCAAGCATTCATCTTGCTGTTACTGTCACGAGGTGCCATCAGGGGGTTCTGCCTTACAGCTACCCTGTGCACAGTGACATGGAACACTGCCTGGGCCTGTGATATTCTCCACATTGTCGATGCGTTCAAGTCCATTGTGGCAGCCACTGTGTCAATCCATCTCGCTGAGGGCCTTTCTCTTTTTCGATGACCTTCTACTTTACCAAACATGATGTACTTTCCCAGGGGTTGATCTCTCCTAAGAACACGTTCAACGTATCACTCCACTAGAGCATTCTGGCTATGGGACTTTCCATTTTCTTTGTGAACACCGTGATTCAAATGCATCAAGTCCTCTCCGGTCTTCCTGATCCACTGCCCAGCTTTCACATGCATACAAGGTGATGGGAACATCGGGGCTTGGGTCGGCCACACCTTATTTCTCAAAGGAACACCTTTGTTCTTCAACACTTACAGGTCTAATACAGCAGCTGTGCCCAATGCAATGTGTTGTTGGATCTCTTGACTGTTACTCCATTCCCATCCATTGTGAATCCATGGAAATGAAATCCTTGACAACTTCAAACTTGTCTCCACTTATCATGATGTTGTCTATTGCTCCCGGAGGGCTCTGGTGGCATCGTGGTTACATGTTGGGCTGCAATCTGAAAGCTCCATAGTTCGAAGCTCTTTTACTCCAAAGGTAAACCGATGGGTCTTTCTATTCCTGTTGCACTCTCAGAAGCTCACAGGGCAGCTTTACCCTGCCCCATAGAGTTGCTATGAGTAGGCATCAACACAACGGCCATGAGTTTGGGCTGATCGTTCTGGTGTTCTCGGCTTTCAGCCAAGATCCCTACATAAGCAGGGCCTTTATTCCATGGCCTCTTCTGAATCCAGCTTGGATTGTTGGTAGCTCCCTGTCGAATACTGCTGCAACTGTTTTTGAATTACCTTCAGCAAAATTTTACTTGCACGGGATATTGTTAGACAAGTTCACTATCCTTGAAGTCTTCTTTCATTGGAGTGGGCACACATAAGGATATCTTTCAGGTAGCTGTCTTCCAAATTTCTGGGACAAGAATTCTGGCTAGTCCTATCTCCCTCTCTTACATATTGCGCACATCTTTCAGAGATTAAACTTGCTAAGACACCACTTTGTTTTGCTGTCAGTACC